AGCACCATGTCACTGAAGGGGCAGATACACCAATTGACAGTGTGGTACAGCTTACCGGAAGAAGTCTCAGAGAAGCCGATTGGTGAGTGGCACACCATCCTTCTGACGCTTCCTTCTATTTTGGCTCGCTTATTACTTCTGCAACGTGTTCTTCATCCTGGAAGTAAAACCAAGAAGCCATACACCTTGATGGAAGTGACGTCAGGGGGATTTATGGAGATGGTGGAGGCCATAGTGTTGGAGCAGCTCTACACCAGTGACACTCCGCCGCGAAGCATCCGCGACGGAACTGACGGAGTCCCAAGGGTGACGAGGTTGGGGGAGGTACTGGTTGCCGTGGAGAAGTGTTTCCAGGAGTCCGTAGCGGTGTCCGACGAAGACGCTAGTCGGGGACCGACAGTGCGGTGGATGGAAAGCCTCTGGGCGCAGTTGAACAGCTGAAGGATGTGAAGGAATGAAGCTGAGGAGTAGGAAAAGAGAAGTACACGTTTTGTTGTTATTTATTTATTTATTTTTTTTCTTTTTTTCTCCGTGCTTATGTTCGTGTTTGTGTGTCGTGCCATTCATTTATCGCGGTGCGGTATGCGTGGGCTGGCAGCGTTTTCAGAGTCCTTTTTTCTTTTTTTGTTTGTTGAATCTTTGCTCTTTTGCGTTCTTACGTGTTTATTTCCGTTTTTGTGGACCTTGCTGGAGCAGCAGGAAGTAACATGCGGTCATTGTCGGAAGCAGACCTCCTAATTGTGCCAGCAGCTTGACGTGTATGGCATTATCTTTGCGCTTGCTGCAGTGCGACTGTTGTTCTCTGTGCCAATGAGAGAGGCTGCGCCCAATGCGGTCGGTTCCCTGAACGTGTCCGGGGCATTTCGTGCCACAAGGGCGTGCGAAGGAAAATTGGCAGGAGTCTCCCGTGGGTTCCTTTGCTACGCCATGGGGGTTGTGTTTCAGCGGAGTCTTGCGACACGTTGCTGAGGCAGCGAGATGTCGCGTTGGAGATGGTTGAGGCCCTTTTGCAAATGACGTGTTTTCTCCTGAATCGTGAGCATCGCCTTTTGTTTTCTTTTTTCTTGCGAGTAAAAATGGGTTGAAAAAAAGGATCCCGTCCACGGATTTCACGGAATTTTGGGGGTTATAGATGGCGTGCTGCAACGCGGAAGAACGCCTGAGGTGTGGCGGGCCGAAGCGATGTCGGCGTTGCTCGACAAACGCAACAAGCGACCAACGGAAAACAACAACAATCAACAATCAACTTTGGCCGTCATTTGCGTGTTGTAGGTATCATCGCTTCTTGAAGCCTGAATAACTTTTTAAATTATTTTGATTGTTTTTTATTGAAGCGGACGTGGGGGAAGGCTGTGCACTTTTCCTTTCTTTTTCCTTGTCACTGTTTTTTGCCCTCTTTCCGTCATGGGGAGCGGACGAACGTTTGATGGCTGCGGATGCTCGTTTGTGTTTTCTTCATCTTTTTTTTTTTTTTGAGTTTTTTTTCTTGGACGTGGGGGTTTGTTTTTTAGTCCCCCGCTCTCTCTCCGTGTTTATTTGTGCATGGATGGGAAAATGACTGCACTGCTCCAACAGCTGCAGCATGTGCTGGCAACCTGGGACGCCGTCAATGGCGCGGGGGAGCCAGGCACAATAGACTTGAGCCGCAATAGGGGTGGCACCAACCACAAGAATCTCTTTCTGGCGTCTGTGGACGCTGCGGCAGCTGACAACAATGGCAACAACACTAAAAAGGACCACCATGCTGACGATGAAAGTTGTGGGGTGGTAGGGAAGTCGAGTGAGACGTACCCGCCGTGGCTAACGGAGGCCGAGTGCAACCAGAGTGGCAAGGAGGTGGTTGAGCGGCGTGATGGTGATGCTGCACCGGCCGCGGCTTTAAATGGGACGGGCTTTCCTGACATGTCTGTGGACCCGTCCCTTTCGCGGCAGCGAATCACGAAGGTGGAATTGGCAAGGGCGGCGCTTGCACTTTTCACCTCCAATTCCGGGATCTACCGGCCGATTTTGCAGAAAACGCTTGGGTTTATCTTTGGCCTTATTGACGAGCTTCTGGAGGAGAAAATGGATCTTCCATGCAGGGAGGAGACTCCGCAGAATTTCCTGCCGCTGTGGATGGCCACCGAGAATGAGGAGGTGGCCACCGCACATGAACGCATGCGCAAGATGGAGGTGCGTATGGCAAAATTAGTGGATGAGGCGGCCACGCAGCGTGACCACCTAAAGGCGGAGATTGCGGCTACGCGGGCACGGGAGGCCAAGTTGGAAGGTCTGCTTAAGCACCAAATTCTGTTATCCCACGCAAAAGGGATGGCGGACGAGGTCTTTTTAGGCCCTGGCGACAAGGAGACGGATGCGTTGTACGTGAAACGACTGATCGCTCGCGCTGAAAATGAAAAGGCGATTGATGAACTGCAGGGGGAGCTGCGATTGCTGCAGAATGAACGGAATGAACTGAGCAACCGAATCCAGCAACTCATGGAACTAAATGGCAAATACGCCCGGCAGTGCGTGGAGCTGGCCGCCCGTCTCTCAGTTCTCACGGATCATAACATTGCCATTGCAGTAGATTGTAAACGGCATCAAAATGAGGTTTTAGTCGAAAAACAAAGAAGTGAGCGGTATCAAGTGGAAATTCAAGTTATTCGCAACGTTCTGGTGACTTTATTCATGAATCGTTACCATTCGGTCCAGAGCTGGTGGGAGTCTCTGCGTGAGAAGCGCATGAAGGATGCCACCCAGGTGCTTTTGAATCTCATTGAGGCCCCCAATAGATTTCCTTCCACGCCGCAGACCTCGGAGGGAAGCAAAACGAGCCGCCAGACCACAGACGAGCGGAGACAAGGCACTGAATTGGAGGAAGAGGATGATTCAGACGCCAAGAACAAAGAAGCCTCGTCTCCTTATCAGGGTGCAGATGAGAGCAGTTTGTGTCATATGTGGATTCCAAGTGCCGGCAACAACCCGGAGACCCCAGAACACCTGCGCTCCTTGTCTAGCGTGGAGTATATTCGTATTAATCCCCTTGTTGCAGAACGTGCTGTGTATGTCATTCTCTCTGAATGGGGTTGCGATGCTGAATCGAGGCCATTGGACATCTTTACTCGTGATTATGTTTTAAGGGCAATGAAAAGTAGCGATGCCTCTCCAATTTTTACATTACAGAAAGCAGACCAAGCCTCTGCTGCCGAAGAAACAAATTCACACCTTCCCATCACATATGCACTTGATGCTCTTTCTCGTAGCTGTTATTGTGGATCACTGACGTACGCCTTTGGATTAGTGACAAGAAGGCGAGTAAACGCCAATCTTTTCCGCATGTTGGAATTGGATGCGGCCATACTTACCTCCATCTGTCGTTATTTGGATATAAAGCGCAGTTTACCTGGTAAGCCGCGTGGTCTCATACCCGTTGTTCAATTTGCGAGTCTCCTGGTTGCCATGTATCCCTCTTATCCGTTAGTTCGCCTGCAACAGTTACTTGACGCGGCTAGAAATGATGCCGGGAATCAGATGGATTCAATGGAGCTACTGAACTACAATGTTCTACTGCCCGAGCGCTTGTTCCTGCGTTCCGCATTCATCACCGTGGAGAACGCCGGTGCCTTGTGGGATACTCACTTCAAGCATCTCTTGTATAAATTTGTCTGCGATGATGTGGAGGGCTCCTGGCAAGCAGTGGAAGATGCTCTCTGTTTGTACGCGTCTCGCGTAAATGTTGCAAGCGAAAGTCAACTCTTGTATCAGGCGATGAGCGAACTTCCCAAGGAGGGTAGGAAGTACTGGTTACCATCCATTCGGGTGGCATTATCCCGTTGGGATGATCTGAGGGCAGACACGGCCTCCGTGTTGCTGGATGGTATGCCACGCGTGCCGGTGAAGGCAGTGGCCAGTTACCTGCGCGGTCAGTTACTTATTCGCCGTGGCACCTGCCCGAATTCCTTGAGGGAGAATGAAGAACTTCTTTCTGGGCTTCAAGAGCGGTGGAACAAATTTGCCGGGAGTTATGAGAAGCTGAATTTCCAGTACTACGCCCAACTGGTTGAATTTCTTGACGGGAAACGTCATGCGGTGTGGGGTCCCGCTTCCATGGCGACAGATGATGTCATGCGTCATATTGCCCCCTCCGATGATCTGTCGGTGGGTGCGTTACTAGCGCGGCTGCAACGAACGAAAGAGACGAACAAATAATGTGGCCAACTAGGAGACTTCCTTTCATTCTTGACTTTCTTTTTATTCTCCCCTCCGCTTTTCTTTCCATTTGAGCATTGTTTCCGATGTAAACGGATTTTTACCTGAAGGTACATGAATAAATGAATATGTATGTATAAAATATATAATATATATATATATTGTTTGACACTTTTTTTTTTGCGGTTGGTTGCCGCTGTTTTTGTTTTTGTTGTATATATATATATATATTTTCTTTCCCCCCTCGTGTGTTCCCTTTTCCGGTTTCCGTTGGCTCATGCCGGCACCAGATGACTGGGAGAGGGTGAGGATTGCATGTGCACAAATGTGTTGCATTTTTGTTTTTCTTACGTTGCCGCCTGATTGCATTGTCCTGCTGGGCGTTGATTTCTGTCACTGTTTGTGTGTGTGTGTGTGGGACGGAACCAACGTTTGGAGGGTTTTTATTCTCTGCCTCTGTTTCTTTGGTGAATCGGTGGGAGGAGGCGGGGTGGCGATTGTCCCCTGCAGTTCAGTCAGGTGCACACACGCCACGGAGGCCTACCCCACGTTTCGAAGAGGAGTGAGAAGAGACGACACAGGTACGCAACAGCGAAAATATCAAAAATAACAACAGCACCAACAAAAAAGGTAGTAGACGGAAGCGACAGAATTCATGTCGGAGGAAAGGGTGAAGATACTTGTGCTTGGTCCGAGCAGGTCGGGGAAGTCTACCATCGCGAACTTCCTTGCCGGTCTCCGCGAGACGCCAACGAAGGGGTACTATGAGACCCAACCCCTCCGTATCCTTGAGGTGGAGATCGGCCTCGATAATCTCAAGGTGGGCGGCCGCCATGTCGTGGGGCCAAAGAGGGCCATCGTGCAGTTGTGGGATCTCGGCGGCAGCAGCAAACATCAGGCGGGGTGGCAGGCTGTGGCGGCTAACGCGGATGGCATTATTTACGTCTTTAATCCCGAAGTACGGGGGGCGGAGAAGGAACTCGTTCTGTGGCACAAGAACTTTGCTCTCGACCAGGACAAACTGGACGAAAGGAACAACTTCAAGGTGCGTGTGCCGGACAAGCACTCCCTGGTCTTCTCTCATCACTCTTCCATGCCGGAATTGGCCGTTGGTGATAATGCGATCCCTTCGCTGCCCAAACAGCTGAGGGGGGTGCGCGCCATTGAGACATCATTGGATTACCAGAGCGGCAACTTCAAGGAGGCATTTGATGCCATGGTGGAGCAGATTGTTGTGTCACGCATAGTAGCAGAGGAGGATGAGATTTTGCAAAAGGAGCGTGAGGCTGGAGATGCACCTCGGATGGTGCGTTGAGGTGGATGGGGGTGGGAGGATCCTCTTTATGACTGTCTTTCTGTTGGCGGCGGTTTAATTGAAGAGAGGGTGAGAGAGCGGGGGATAGAGATACGGAACGGGCGTGTCCTCTCGTTGTGTGCGAGTGGGGGTAGTAATGTAAAGAGGGACCTTTTTTTCTTTCTTTCCTTTCTTATTCCGCTTTGTTTTTTTATTTTATTTATTGCCAAACAATTGAAGGGAATTGTGTATACATGTTCCTTTCTCTGTCTTGCTGGGTGTTATCCTTTCTGTTTCGTGCGTGATTCTCATTGAATGGTCGGATCATTTGCATCACGCCTTCTTTTCTTTTCTTTTTTTTTTTCTTCTTTTTCTCTCTTTTTGTGTGTTTGTTGGTGCCATTGGCTGTTGTAGGTCTTTTTTTTTTGGGGGTTTTATTTTTCCTTGCTTTTTTTTTTTTTTTTTTTAAAGTTTTGTTTTAATTATTTCGTGGTGGGTCTTCCTGCTTGTGTGGTCCATTTGTTGTGGTGCTTCCAGGTCTCACAAATAAATACGGGTGAAAATAGTGGCGCTTTAAACAATTAAAGTAAAATAAAATATATTTATTCCTCGCATACTTTCGCGGTGCAGGCGTGTGTGTGTAACCGCAGCAGCAGCAGCGAGGAAAACGGAAGTCCCCTGCAAAGAAAGCAAAACAAAAACAAAAACAAAAAAAAAAAAGGAAGACAAAAACAAAAACAACAAAAAAGAAAAACGGAAAAGGAGAAGGAGAGGGTAGGAGTGAGCGGAGAAGTGAGTGGATAGAAGGGAACTGGTGAGGAGGGCGGCCAGGCAATTTTCTCAGGGACGAGAAGGAAGACACACAAGCAACAACAACCCTGCGGTGATTCCCACCACCAACAACACCACCATACGCACACGCACACAGGTACTCAACGAAAACGGGAAAAAAATTAATAAAAAGGAAACTTCAAGAAGGACGCTTACATTTTCATTTACTACGGTGTTGTACAGCAAATATTTTTTTTTAGTGATTTTGGTCTTTTTTTTTTTTTTTTTTTAGGTTCAAATTTATTTGAGATTTTTATTTCGTCGGTCTCGTACTTGGTTTTGTTGGGGCCAAGGCGGTACTGCTCAGTGGTTTAAATTTGCATTGGCCGGCGCATTTGTTCTTTCTTGTTTTCGCTCCGCTTTGGATATTTTTTGAGGGGTGCATGATGCCGTGCCGGGCGGACTGCTGCTCTCATGAAAACGAAGTTGTCGAGGCTCAATTCGAGGGGTGGGACTCCTGCACCGCGACGCAAGAGGCCCCTGCGGCCGAGGAGGAGTGCCTGGACATCGACTACGCGGCGGAGATCGAGGAGAGCTCGCGTTATGTCTTCAGTCAACGACCGTACTGCCGCAATACTGCGGTCGCGGTCTGCGGCGGCGATGGCGAGCAAGGGGGATTCTGCGGAGTCCGTGAAGAGGAGCAGGAACAGCAGGTGCGTGAACTCCAATCCCACGTTTTTGTGACACGCGGGGAGCGTGTGCAGCTGCAAGACGACACTTTGTCCCCTAGTGACAGGCGTGCGTCGCTTGTTCTCCTGATGGGCGAGGCGCGCCGTCGACATCTCGCGCTTCTCAGTCACCACGGCGCCTCGGAGGGGAGTGTAATGGAGGCGATTCGACAGTGGCGCGCGTTTGCTCGTCGCTTCCTGGACGAACTTGATCGGTGGGGCCACGAGCACGCGAGGAGGATGCTGTCTAACATGTTTCTTTTCGAGTTGCCGGGCACGAGCTGCAACCTCCTTGACAGCGGTGCTCGCGCAAGGGAGCTGATACGGAACAAAGAGCGCGTTTTGCAGGAACTGCGGGAGCGGAATCAACTCTTTTTGACGGCCGAGGCCAATTTGCCACAGATGGACACTTCCCCTTGCGTTAGCATGGCGTCAGAGGGGGAAGAGTTGGAGATGTTTCCCACTGCCGCTGATTCGCTGAGTTTGATGGCCATGGCACAACTGAACGATCCCTCTTTTGCCAAATTTCAAGAGGGCAGGGAGGTGGAACTGTGTGAAATTTTTTCGTTCTCACTTGACGCCTCTTTGAAGAGCGGCGAAGGGGCAAGCAGCTCGGACTGCAGCAGCGACACGGACGAGTATGCGGATGCGTGCCGCAGCCCGCCCAGTACAACTGGGGATTTTTGGCTTTCTGCGCCCTGTCAATGAGTGCGAGGAAAATTCACACGTTCCGATCTGTGTGTTTTTTTTTTTTTACTTTTTTTTCTCCTTTCTTTTTTTAAATTTTATCATTCGCTTTGTGTTCACGTAACTTTTGAGGTTTTTTTTTTTTTTTTTTTTTTTGTGCTTCTTTTTTTTTTTTTCTTGGGTTTTTTATTTGTTATTTTATTTGTTGTGGTTCCCTGCTTCTCTGCTTCATCACTTCCGTGTATCAATGGCGGGGAGGGTGGTGGGAGAAGAAGAAGAAGTGGGAGTGGGGGACTGTGGCGCGGTGGCGGTGGCGGTGGCAAAACGAGAGGAGCGCTAACGGTACATGATCATAGGAATAAATGATCTCAACGAAATAAATGAGAAGTCGGAATATTATATTTGTATGCGTGTGCATCTCTCTGTTTTTGCGTGTGTGTCTTTCTGTCTGTCTTTAAAAGTACATGTTTTCTTTTTTTTTTTTTATTTGGCCGTCCCTCTGGGGGGTGGGTGGTGGTGTTCCCCATTCAAACAAAAAGTGGGGGACGGAAGCCAAGGGAGAGGGATTCAGCGGTCGTCTTTTTTTTTTCTTTTTTCTGTTGACTGTGATTATTGCTGCGATTATGGTTTTTTTTTTTTTTTTTTTTCTTTTCTTTTACTTTCTTTTCTTTTACTTTCTTTTCTTTTATATTATTTTCCGTTATGCCCTTGTTTTTGATGTCATTGCCACAGTCCCCCCATTTTCGGGGGATGTATTTGAAGT